ATACTCACCATTAAAAAAGAATGAACTACTCATATATAACAACGAATATAGATTCTAAGGACATCATAATGAGTGAAAAAATCCAATCTCAGAAAGTCACATGCCATGTGATTCTATACCTATCGATACGATATTCTTGAAATGACAAAATTAGAGACATGGAAGACAGCTGAGTGGACTGCAGGGATTGAGGATTATGGCTCACAATCACCAATTATGACTGAGGAAGAGAAGGGGGGTGGTTATGCACAAGGTATGTATGCATAAGGAAGACCTTTGTAGTAATCTATTAGCAATATGTAACCTGATTGTGGTGGTAGTTACAGGAATCTATCTACACATGTGATAAAATAACAGAACTATACACACACAGTGCACCAATATCAAATTCCTGGTTTTGATTTAGATCAATAATTATGTTAAGATGTAACCACCGGGGAAACTTGGTGAAGGGTGCAAGTGATCAATCTATACTATTATATCTTTGTAAATTCCTGTATATGTTTCAAAAGAAAAATATAATAAAATATAAATTCAGTACAAAAACTCTTGATATTCCAGTTTTATTGTTTAAAACATGCAGAAACTGCAAAGAAAACATTGCTTTATTTTTGGTGGGAGAACTTGTTTTTAAAAACTGAGGGTTCCCCATTAAATGCCCATCAGTAGATGACTGGATCAAAAAACTATGGTACATTTACACAATGGAATACTATCCAGCAGAAAGAAAAAAAGAGCTAATAAACTTCACGACAGCATGGATGGAACTAGAGAGCATTATGCTGAGCGAAATAAGCCAGGGGGCGAAAGACAAATACTATATGATCTCACCTATAAACGGAACCTAACCAACAATACAAAGATGCAAGGAAAATAAGACCAGCAACACTGAAAGGAAAAGAAACGAACAGAGACAAGAGGGATGGAGGGAGGGTGGGACAGGGGCAAAGGAAGGGAATGGGGGGGTCGGGGAACGTGTAGCAAGGTCTCATGGACAAAACCAAAGGGGAAGGATTGAGGGAGGGAGGGAGAAGGGGGCAGGGGAAGGTGGTGGGGGGAAGGAAGAGACAAATGTATTTGAAAAAATAAAGAAAATAAATTTAAAAATTAAAAAGAATAGTTAAAATAAGTAATAACATATACTTAGGAAGTAACATTATTTTAATTCTTAGTAAAAGATCTGTAAGGCATTATTTTTCTTCCAATTATTCTTCAAATCCAATATCATATTCACTAATTTGAAGACACATTTTTTTTCTTATTTAACATACCTAAAATTGATAGGTATCTTAAAATCACTCTTGGTCAGGGAGCAGTCATAACATATTTGTCACTACATGTACATGCATCCAAGTGGGAAGAATGGGTATCAGCATCTTGAAAGAAAACCCTGGAGACAGACAATAATGCACACTCATTTAAGAAATGATACATTAGCCCTGGCTGGTGTGGCTCAGTGGGCTGAGTGCCAGCCTGCGAACGAAAGGGTCGCAGGTTTGATTCCCAGTAAGGGCACATGCCTGGGTTCCAGATCAGGTTCCCAGTAGGGAGAGTGTGAGAGGCAACCACACGTTGATGTTTCTCTTCCTCTCTTTCTCTCTCCCTTCCCGTCTCTCTAAAAATAAATAAATAAATCTTTAAAAAAATCAAAAGAAATGATACATCATTAATGTTCATGATAGCAGAGAACAGGTAGAAACACATGGACATCAAGACTCTGAGTTGAAAGTGAACTGGAAGAGTTATAAAGGCTCTGAATGTGAAGTTGTAAGAGTACCACAACTAATTTTACTTATCTTTTTCTTTTTATGTATGTACTAGGGTGATATGATTATTTTACAAAGGCCTTTCCATAAGTACGAAAAATTCCAAGTTATAAAATGTTGCTGTAGTTAAAATGGCATTTTTCATTCTCAGTAGCACATAAAACCATGGTATATTTTGTAATATTGCTTCTCAGCTTCATCTCACCTCCTACTTCAAAACACTGAATTTTTCAAAACTATTATTTTCTTCTTCTCTTTAGTGTCTTCCATTAAAATTTGACTTACAGAATTAAATCAACAAAAAGTATAAGAATCAAGCCTAAGAACCAAGCCTTCGATATAATGACAAAAACATATATGCCACTTAATAGAAAATGTTAAACTAAAGCTGTGCTGTGACTGATTTGGGCTATGATTTCATTGTGTCTTACAGTAACATTAATTTGGCAACTGATGTTTTAATATAGAGCATGATTTCTAGCCTATTCTGTTCAATATTTATTATAGAGTGCTAACTACATGCCAGGTATTGAATTAGGCACTAGAGATAACATAGAGAATAAAATCAGACATGATCACTGCTCTCTCGGAGTTAAGTATGTAGTGAGAAAGACTGACAAATTATAAATTGTTATAAATATTATGAAGAAACAACTGGGAAATGGAAATAAAAATGAACTATGCTGGGGGTGGTATACTCAACTTCAGATACTAACAGTGGTAACAATGAACACTTACATAGTGTTATTATGTGTCAGGCTCTGTATCGCATGCTGTATATACTCTTTAATCTTCAAAACAACTGTATAATATAGATACTACTATGGTCCCCATTTTATACCCAAGGAAAAGGAGGCTTTGGGAATTAAACTAATTTATCCAAGGTCACGTAGCAAGTAAGTAGGGAGCTGGGATGTAAACCCCGTCCTAAAAAACATAAAAAATAAATTAAAAAATCAATAAATTGATACCCGAATGATGAGAAGATAAGGAGTTGCTGAACAAAATCATATATAAAGCCCTAAAGACAGAAATGGTCTTTCTTTTTAAGGGAATGAAAGAAGGCTCTATCATTGTTGGGATGGAGTTAATGAGAGCAAGCAAGAATGTGGGTGAGATAGGGCTGCAGAAGGCCAGTATTGCCTCATGTAAGATCCCAGAGGCCACAAGAACATGGAATTCTATTTTAAGTGCAATTAGAGCCACAGAAAACTTTGAACTGAACAGTTACGTGATCTTTTTTATATTTTTAAGTATCTGATGTTTGAAGAATACATTAAAAGACGGTAAGAGAAATAGAGTCCAAGTTGTTCATTTATTCAACAAATATTAGAAAGTATAGGAGTAGCTATTACTGTGGCAAGCACTATTCCAGATACTGGGCATATAGCCAAAAACAATAAAGGCATGGTCATCCACTCTGGAACACAATTTGGACCGGTGAACACAGATACACACACACATATATAACTACTCTCTCTGCTACATCAACAATTTCACCCACTGTACTGGACATTTTCCATCAGTGCACAAATTTTAGTGTCTCCCATCTTTAAGCAAACATCAAACAAAAATACATCCTTTGACCTTTCATTCCCCTGTAGCTATCATCCCATTTTCTACTCCCTAACGCAGAAAACTTCGTTAAAGAACAGTTTATATTAACTCCACCTCCAGTTATCTCAGCCCACTACAATCAAGTTCCCCTCTTTCAGCCTACTAAAACAAGTATTAGTAGATACCTTATACTTCACATATCTTTACGTTAAATCTTAGTGTAGCTTTTTGTATGTTTTACCTGCTTTGCCAGACTGTAAACTCTCTGGGAGTGAGAAGTAGACCTTAAATACAGCACCTAACAGACTTTTATAGTATTAGCTAAACTGATATATGAAGCCAGTAATTCATTTTACAGCCCTTTACGGATTTGTGTATGTGTGTGTGCAAAATCCCATTTATCTGCCAAGGATTGAAGGGGTCTCATGATAACACGAAAAGCTAATGGCAACGAGTATAGATAAAAACAGAATAGAACCCATGTTGGAGAGGATGAACATAATCCACAGATAACTGTTAATTACTAATGCTGGCCTTTAACTGAAATTCCTCGGCAGCCAAAGGAAGAAAAGAACCCAATTTCCACAGTGAATGTAGCATTTAATCTACCACAAAGTTAGGCGCTTACAATCATATCCAGAGATCAACGTATTCCCTGGACCAAAACCTGGAAAGGGCTTTGATCACTTGGGCTTTTGTAAATCACCTACAGTCTACATGGAACAACTGTGGAGACAAGAGACATCAATAAAAATAACTGAGCAAAACCAAAAAGTAACTCTGAAGGGCTGCTGAAGTTATTTAACTTGGTTCTGCGGCTTTTAGAGCAAGGACCTGTGATATAGTGGTACCACTAGTGTCTCAACAATAGAACCCTCAGTTTTTTTCCCAGGGTTTCGGTCCAGGCTTGGCAATCTTAAAACAGCACCTGAGTCACTTGGTTGTGAGAACAAAGGATCAGCATAAGCCCAGCTGCTCGCGGACAGCCTCGGCTTCAGGCGGGTCAGGCGCCCCTCACTGGGGACAGCGTCTTGGCCCCAGTCTTGGAAGGCAGTTTTCAGGGCGAGTGGCTGCTAGGGGTATAGGATTGTGTCCTAGGTGAGCGGAGGGGTTCGACCTAAGGGGTTGGGGATTAGGTGGCGGAGGAAGTCATCTCGAACCTACGCAAAGCACAACTCGAAAGGGCACCCATGCAGTCCCTTCCCAGACGCAGAAATCTGTCCCGTTCCGAACACGAAGGAGCGGAAGGGAATCCTCTCTTCTGTGTGTCAGAGGGGTCGATTCTAGCTTCCAGGATTAAGAAGCTATCATCCCACTCCTCCCTAAGACCCCAGACATCACGCACCTGCACCGCAGTATCCGAAGTCTCCACCCCAGTGTCTCGGCCTCCAGAAGACTGATTACGATTGGCTTGCACCACTGTCCCGTTAGCTCTTTTCCAAGCGTGAGTGGCGTTAGGTATCCGCTTTTTCTCTTGGTCCCTCCTTTCGCTCCCAGCCTAAGCACCGCCCTACGTGACGTCACACGTTGCCGCAGAGCGCAGAGGCGGGTCTCGGTCTCCGCCCCAGCCGCTTTCCCCAGGAGCCGGGGGTGGTGGTGTTGGGGGCGGGGAAGTGAGAGGTCAAGGTGCGAACGTGCCTTCGAGCGTACACGACGCTCCGCCCTCTCCGCACAGACGCCTGGTAGAAGGGGGTGGAGCCCCTCCGCGACCGAGCTCTCACGCCCGTGGTGGCGGCGAGGTTCTTTTTCAGTGTATGCTTCTCCACGCCAAGCGGCTCTACTTGGTTTCAGCAATGGAGGGCGTGCGCTGGGCCTTTTCCTGCGGCACTTGGCTGCCCAGCCGAGCCGAATGGCTGCTGGCGGTTCGATCGATCCAGCCTGAGGAGAAGGAGCGCATTGGCCAGTTCGTCTTTGCCCGGGACGCTAAGGCAGCCATGGTACTATATGTCTCTGGTATTTTTAGACGAGAAAGCAGACGTTGGGGGAGGTGGGCCGGGCCATGGAGACCCTCTCGCGTCCTACTGTCGACGCCCCCGTTCTAACCTACTTGGAGCGGGCTCAGGGCTAGAGCAGTCGGCGCTGCCCAGTCTTTGCGCGGCCTGGTCTCCACGGCCTTTGTAGTCGCTTTGGAGGCCTGACTCCGGCGGAAAAATTAGCCCTTACCACGTTGTAATAGAAATAGAGACCCTGCTAAACCATGAGGTAGGTGTCGGGAAGGCCTAAGAAGTAGCTGGGATTCTTCCCCTACCCCGTGAATGTTTTTATATTTTTGTTTATTTTTGCGTGTGGGCCCGTAGTAAATACTTAGCCTGCCTATTAAATAGCCCACCAGTCTGCAGGAGTGCACTGCACGTGATCGGTTCCTAAAAATATTGGTATGACTGAGACAAAATTGTAAGAAGGTAGGAAAATTCCTGGGCAAGTGGAATGGGGAAACTGAGACAAGAAAATTAAATAATGCCAAACAGTTTGAGCAATTTACAGCCAGCTTGTGAATTGTAAGACCTCTCCCCTGGCCAAGGACACCAGAGTAAATGATTTTACCCCTCCTCGTTAACTAGGGAATACAGAACCTCCCTAGCCAAAAACCACAGGCCTCCAGGGAGGAGAGCTGGGGGGAACGCTAATGCATATAGAGAGAACGCTGGAACAAAGGAACCAGCTTGGGGAGAAGCTGAGGACCTCCCTTTCAGCTCCTCCTCTCTAGAGAAACAGCAGGAATTTCCCCCTTCCAGATTCCTGCGTTTTCCTATATAAACTTGATTTTGAAAGCTCAAAGTGAGGCAGATGTTAGGGTTTTAACCTGCCACATTCTCACACTGCTAGCCTTTGATATTAATAAAAGCGTAATTTTAATCCAAGCCCTGGCTCTGCTTTTTGGCTGAGTGGTGACTGGCAGCACGAGCCGTGGACCTGGTTGCCCTCCAGTTTCATTATTTTATTTATTTGTGCACTCTATGGAACTGGAAGTGGCATAGACCAGCCTCCTTTTACCAAAGAAACAAGCCCACGGACGCTGCGGTCCCAGGCATACCTTCCTGACTACATAGCTTGAGAAACAGTATTTTTAAGTAGAATTATTTATTTTAGTTACGTATTCTTAAGCAACAAATGGAAAGTTGGATTTCAAAATTTTCTGTAATGCAGTTTGAAACAGCCTGTAATTTACCATCATTTCAAAAAACAGTCATTCCTTGAAGTTATCCATATATTGAGACACCTTTTCATTTGAACTTTGAGCTAATTCATATTTTTTGAAGGCATATTGGTGAATATTTTTTGTAGTATTGCAGTTTCTAAAAATCAATGTTAGAATTGAAGGAAAAAGACTTGAAAGATACTTTACAAACTATTATATACTTTGTTGTCTTATACCCCTGGGTATTTTTGTGTGATTTTAGTAATGTCTTTCCTAATTATTAGGTGGAGATGGGAAAGAGTGGGTGGGGGCATCTGTGAAAAAAGATAGATGATACATAGCAAATTGTTGAAACTGAGTGATGAGTATGTAGCAGATTTTTAACCTTTTCATCTCAGCACACATAAACTAATTACTAAAATTGTGCCTCACACCGAAAAATGTTTTTTGCCGATTTGACCAAAAAAATACGTAATTCATTCACACCGACAGTTACTGTTTTATTGGCTGTTGTCATTTTTTAATTTGGCAATCTAAGAGAAAAAGAAGTCACTGCCCCTAAGTAGTTAGGTATTGCAAGTTTTAAAAATTCTTGGCGGCACACAGGTTGAAAATTGCTGGTGTGTAGGATCTAGAAATACTTGCACGTGTGCACAAAGATGTAGATACAACAAGGTTACTCACTAGGAAATTTTTTGTAGTAACAAAACTAGAGCCAGTCAATCTGTACTTCCTTGGTACTATGAAATATAATACTATGCTACAACTAATAGTGTACAGGCCAGATGGTTATGTACAGATATGAAATAATCCCCAACAGGTTGAAAAAGTTATACATAGTAGAAAACTATATAGTAGGGACTCTTATATGAAGATAGCAAAATCATATGCACATGAGCATATATTTAGATACTTAGAGAAAAGACTGGAAGGATGCCTACTTGTTAACATTGGTTGCCTGTTGAGGGGAGGGAATTACTAAAGAGAGATTTAACTTTTATCTTAAGCATAACTTGAATCTTGATGCAGTGTACTTTTTAAAACTTTAAAAAATATTTTAAAAACCACAAAAATTGACTGTGTGTTACAGGCAGGGTACCCGTACATACTGAATGTTTATGTTTTGCTTAACAGGCTGGTCGTCTGATGATAAGGAAATTAATTGCAGAGAAATTGAATATCCCTTGGAATAATATTCGTTTGCAAAGAACTGCAAAAGGAAAACCAGTTCTTGCAAAAGACTCATTGAATCCTTACCCTAATTTCAACTTTAACATCTCTCATCAAGGGGACTATGCTGTACTTGCTGCTGAACCTGAGCTACAAGTTGGAATTGATATAATGAAAACTAGTTTTCCAGGTAATGTTGCATTTTTGTAGTACAAGAGTTAGATATCTCCTTGTTTCCGTTCATACCTATTTATTAAGTAATCTCAGGCCAGGAGATGTAGATACTTAAGTTTTAGGGAAAGTATGCTCATCACTCAAAGGTGGTATATCTGAGAGAACATATGTCTGAAAAAGGCAGATTTCTTTGAATATTAACAGACGTCTACATAAAGGATAGATTCATCATTACTGAAGAGTCAGTCATATGATGTTTTGTCAGAGACAGTGAAATGTAAAGATGTCCTTTTTGAATTACACTTCAGCTTGTTAAATAAGACTAAATTTGAAACTTTCGGAAGACTTAAATTTGTAAAGAATAGTTTTTCAATAGTTTTGTTTATCTCATTTAAATAATAAATGTTAAACGAAACTGGACTCCAGGCAACTTTGAGTAGCATTCTATTCAAAAACAGTAATTTTATTGTAAGAACTTTGTTTTACTTAAGTATTTCCCAGTATTCATCAGTAAATTGTCTCAATGATAAAGTATATTGTAGTTCTTAGAAAAAAATAACATGTATTTATGCTATATCTAGAACTCTTTGTAGCACATTAATATAGGTAAAAATGAAGAGCAAGCAATTATTAAAATATTTAAGTTGCTTATATTTTATCTTAGAAATTTGTAATTGATGGCTGTAGGAACTGCTAACATTTATTTTCGGGTTGCATATGCCCAGAAAATTTTACTGGAACACAGGTTCTCTTAACTATGATTTTCATCATCACTAATAATTGTATTTACTGAGCTCTTACTGTGTGCCAAGGCCTTTTACTAAGTGCTTTGCATATATTCAACTTAATTGTCCCAACCCTAAAATGCATATACTATTATTTTTATAAAAGCATAAGTAACAGTCCAAGAATGAAGCTATGAATGAGACATCTTTCTCATTTCATACTGCAACTTAGGGATCTTTGCTTATGTTTCCCTGTGTATGGAAGATTTGTATTAACGTTATCCCCCACCTCAATTTCTGCATAGGTAACTTATTTACTGGTTACCTTTCACCTCATTCTTACTTTAGGGAAGCCTTTGTGAACCCTTAAACTAGGTTCTTTTGTTGTAGACTCTCATAAAATATATTTCCTGCATTCAGGTAACATAATCTATTTATAATTATTTATCAGGATGATTGTCATTCCCCTGTTCCTCAGAGAGCAGGAACTGTGTTAGCTACATAGTTCCCAATAACTGTGGAATGAATGAATGAATGAATGAATGCTCTGTGCTGCTATATATGTATATATAGCAAGGCTTCAGAGTATGGCTGCGGATCTCATCTCTCACTTTTGCTGTCAGCGTCTTTACTTTGAGTTTTCCCACCACCAACTTTTTCTTTATTTCTTTTTGATTTTTTTTTTTCCTTTTAAGAGGGAGGGAAAGGGATAAAAACAGTATGTGAGAGAAAAAACATCAGTTGGCTGCCTTGGGTATGCCTGGCCAGAGACCGAACCAGCAACCCCAGCATGTGCCCTGACCAGGAATGGAAGTGGCTACTTTTCAGTGTGCATGACAACGCCCAGCCAATTGAGCCACACTGGCTGGGACCCACCAGCTATTTGCTTTTCTGACTTGCTCATAAAACCTTTCTATTACAATTTCATTCTTAACTTTGCTCACAAGGAAGGTGTACAAGTGATAATGGATTCCTAACCTGAGTCCCTGGATAAGTATCAAGTCATTTTATTTTAATCTACTGAAATTATTAGGTATATTTTGTGTGCATTTTTCTCAGGAGAGGATCTAGTTTTCAGCAGTGTCATATAGAGGGCTTATTCTGAAAGCAGCGCTGCTATAGAGTTTTCAAAATGAACATTGGAATGAGCCCATAAGTTTTCGTAGTTTTCTACTGTCCTTATATGAACTTTTCCTAAAATCAGAAATTATCAGAGAGGCCATTGCTCCTTTGAATGAAGTCAGCGTAATTAATTACACAGTAAAGTTTGGCTCATTATGTTGTTAGCTGCCCGGAAATTATGCCTTACGGGAAGACACAGATTTTATTACCAGTTATGTTGATGGACAATGTTGGTTTTGGTCAATACTGAATAAACATATAATTACTAATCGAAACATTTAATAAATGATAGGAAGGTAATTGAGCATAAATTGACTAATCATAGTATCCAGGCATTTTCTTATTCTTTCACTGGTTCATTGCCAAAAAGCAGTGATACATTCAGTAAAACATGGGGCAAGAGATATTTTCTGGTCATCACTATTATTATTATTGTGTCAATAATTTCTGAAGTATGAATGGACTTTGTTTCTCAGTGAGGTGGCAAGTAGACACTGGTTTATTTCATTGGAGATTTATTTGAATTGCTCTGCTTATCAGAATAAGTATTGAGCATGGGGCATTTTTAAAAGTTACTAAATGATGGAGGATAAAACTTAGGATAGCTGCAAGTGTATTGTGCTTTCTACTGGACATTATTTTAGATTGTCAGCTCTGAAGATAGAGTCATTTGTATATTGAAAGACTGTTTTTTTATTCCCATTTTATCTGCAGGTAAACAGTGTTGGAACGCGTGGAGTCTTTCCTTCCTGTCATATTAGCCGTTTCTACTAGGTTCCATTTTCCCCTCCCAGTTCTCTCATTGCTACTATGGCAGGGCAGGTGAAAATATACTAATGGATCTAGGAAGCTTTGGGTTCCTTCTAGCCAGATGCCCACAATTAAGGAGATTATTGTAACCACCACTTTAGTCTTTGCTTTATAGAGGAAGAAAACTTATTTAAAAAGTGGTGCATAGTTGGTACTCAATAAGTATTTAATGAGTGTCTAAAGAACATTTGTGAGATATTGGGGACCCTGATATAAATAAACCAGCAGTGCAGTACATTCCTAAGCCTGAGGGCAAAGGTGTTTTGTAGGTCATCACTGTGATACCCAATTAGGAAATTTTGGTTGCTTTTTATTGTTGTTTTTTTTTAAATTTTTATCTACCATTATTTATCATATTTACAAAATAAGGCAAGATAAGATACAGTAGAAAAACTATGGTTGAAATTTGGGAAATAACCAAGAATTTTTTTTCCCCTGTGGTTTTACATTTTCAGCTTTACAATTTTATTATAAACTTTGCTGGGTATTAATTGGCAGCATGAGAGACTCAGTATTTTGAGCTGTAATACTAATTTAATAGCTTTGAAATGACTATCATAGAACTATTTTCTAGAACAACTGTTATGTAAATTAAGCTCAGTAAGTATAAAGTAAGTGGTGGTATTATATGATAGCTGGCAACATGGTAGGGCGTATTTCTTGTCTCCTTCCATTGTACCATTCCGTCTCCTGCACTATTAAATGGCTATTAATTGATCCCCCTTTTTTATTCTTGTACTCACCCAGTTATTACGGAGTTTGAGTGTTATTTTTTAAAAACCCTACAGCAGTTTTCTTAAAACTATTAGGTTGCTTTTCAATAAATGCAGTCCATTTAACATGACCTCATTTATTCTCATTTACCTCTCCATTTGCTGACCACCTGATCTTCTCGTTCATGGTCCTTCTCATTTGTAACTGTGACTTAATTATTTGATTACTATTTTCCCTCATTAGATGTGTTCAGGAACCATGCTTGTTTTGTTTTTGCCACAGTACACCTGGTACTTAAAAGGGTCTATCTAGCATGTAGCAGGAGCTCAATATGTATTGAATATGCAAATGATAGTTCTAAATTTTGCTGAAAATACTAAATTTGTTGGAAAATGAAAAAAACGTACATAACCACAATGAAAAATTGCATTTATATCAGGTACTAGTTTGAAATAAACTGTTCTCATCAGTGAGTTATGATTAGAAATTGTTCTTCTTTTGAGTTTTCTTCCTCACTCTCCATTTATCTCCCTATCTTTTTCTGTTCTCCACTTCCATCCTGTTCAGATTCAGTTTTCAGCTTTGTTCCTGCTGTAATCTATTCCACTTTCCTTTCTATCTAGAGTGATCTACATTCTTCTAGATCTGCATTTTGTAGGATGTGCTAGATAAAGCATTTTGCATGATGTGCTAAAGCCTGTTTTTTTGCTTTTTTTTTTTTTAAAAGCTTGGTGTTTAGAGCCTGTAAGTAGCTTAAATAAGTCAATAAATCACACTTCCCTTTGTACTCTGAACTTTTTACTGGAAAACCTGGTCTTCACTGGCAGGGAGTATTCCTCCTCCTCTGTTACTGAATGGGTTTTGAGTGGGGTCATAACATAGAACTAGTATTTAATGAGTAACACCTATATGTGATACTGTTAAATGCCTTGTATACATTATCTCATTTAACCCACTTAAGTCTAGGATATACAGTTCACCCATGAACAACACAGGGCTCAGGAGCACTGACCTCCCATGCAGTTGAAAATCTGTATAACTTTTGGCTTTCCCCAGAACTTAACTACAGTAACCCTTCGGTGTCTGTGGGGCACTGGTATCAGGAACCCTTGTGGATACCAGAACCTGCAGATGCCCAAGTCCCTTATATAAGATGACGAACATTGCATACAGTCTGCCCTCTGCATTCGTGGTTTTCCAACCTTGGATCAAAAATACTATCTGTGTTTGGTTGAATCTACAGATGTGAAACCCTGGGATGTAGAGGACCGACTGTATAGCAAAAGATATTCTTGTAAGTGGACCTTTGTAGTACAAACTCCCATTGTTCAACGGCCAGCTATACTATTAATTTTATAGAATAGATTAAGACACTTACTCAAGGTGACTTAAACAGGAGAATATCATGAATCTGAACCCATACTACAAAACCCAGATATTTAGGCACTATGCTCTACAATGTATGGCCTCTCAATACTAGGCTTTATTGATAATGTTTAAGGATTTGCGAGTATAACATCTGTGAAAAATTCTATGGAACTCCGTTAAATTTATTTAGCTTTTATGGGGGAACTGATGTCTAAGAAGACTTGTCCTACCATTTTTAAAAATATTAGGCATTGTAAACAAGAGTATGGTGTTAGCA